CTGCGAGACAGAAGTCAGTCAAGAGGCAAGATGGTGGCAGAGAAAGGGCATTTTATTCCAGCTTGCTAGCAAGAGGGAAGATCGCTGACTAATGTCCAAAAGAACCATCTTAAGAGGGGAACAGAATCTTGAAGCAGTTATATCGGCCAGTGGGTTATACGGGAGGTTAGGCATGTTGACCCGGGAGTTGCCACACCAGATCTTTCAGTTTTCACTGATGATGGCTATCAGCATAGACTCTCTGTTTGGGGGTCATCACATCCCTAAGAGCTCAAAAGAACGAAGTTATCCTCTTATTGCAGCTGGGAGGTATATGCACCAGCAGGGGGTCATAAGATCTACAGAGCAGGTGGATCTCCTGGAGGGTACAAATCCAGCTGGGTTAGTTAGTCAGAGGTCATTCAAAGTTACAATATGGTCTCTTTTCTACAATATGGCCTCCCTTCTGTCAACTTTGTGTTGAGCCAGTTTCATAGTTGTTAAACATAAAATAAGGAGGTATGTTGGAAGTTGGCATGCTCAACTCTATATAAGGGGTCTTCTGTCTTTTAGCTAGGCTTTTGAGTTTCCTGGAGCCACACTAATAATCCGGGGAGCAGGTTCTCCAGTGAACCTGCAGGTTACAAAGAATGGGGACTGTGGACTGATTCCAAACAAATGGGGAACTGCAGCTGCCACCAACAGTTCCCAAAGTGGAGTCTGGGAATCTAGGGTCAAAACCAAAGGGCTGGGGGGGCTGGCCCCGTGGCCGAGTGGTTAAGTTCGCGCGCTCCGCTGCAAGCGGCCCAGTGTTTCGTTGGTTCGAATCCTGGGCGTGGACATGGCACTGCTCATCGAGCCACGCTGAGGCAGCGTCCCACATGCCACAACTAGAAGGACCCACAATGAAGAATATACAACTGTGTACTGGGGGGCTTTGGAGAGAAAAAGGAAAAAATAAAATCTTTAAAAAAAAAATAAAAAAATAAATAAAAAAAAAACAACCCAAAGGGCTGGGGTTTCTTTTTGCCTTCTGAGATACCCACTTGGCCATAGCCTTTATCTACACAAAACAAGATAAACATGTCCACCTTACTGTATTCGTAGTAACCAAGAGATATTACTGCATCCTGGCCACAAGAAGGTCCTGTGTTCACCACCATCAGTTCCCATGGAACCTTGGACTGGAGAAAGGATTGGACCAGCAAACCCCAAGGACTGGGGACTGAGGACTGATTTCAAACAGAGTGGAGAACTGCAGCTAAATGGTCAGAAATCCCGATGTGGAATCCAGGGACTGAGCTAAGGGCTGGGGTTTTCCATCTGTGGAATTGCGGTCTTGGGTCTAGGCAGAACCATTGGCCAGCCCAGTTGACTCTGGGCAGAATCCTCCACCAGCTTAATTGGGCTCTAGAAAGAATTCTCTACCAGCTCAAGCTGACCTGCCCTGTTAAGGAAAGCCAATTAGATTGAGAGCTCGAACACAAAAAAGAGTGGAGCTCAGCTGAAAGGAACTCACCAACAGCCCTCAGAAACAGTGAGAAAGACGGTGAACTCAAAAGGGTTCATGGGGGCCACAACTGTTTCTCGTTGTCCCTGAATCCTGTCGGAAGTTTGCTTTGGTCACACTGCTGCCACCAATCTGTTAAAAAACAAAATTCAACTGAGTCTGAAGATCTAATTGGCTTTATGAAATGATTTATGAATTGGAAAGCATCTCATCCAGCAAGCAGAGAGATGCTGCAAGGAGTTACACAAAATATGAGGCTTTTATAGAAAGGAGGTGGGGGGCAAAGAAGTCATTAGCAAAGGAAAAATGAAAGGTCATTGGAAGAAAGTAAGAGTTCAGGGTGATGACAGTTTCTCATTGGCTGAGCTGCAGCATTTTCCATTGGCTGGGCTTGTTGCTGGGCAAGAAGAAAATCTTCCTTCCTCCCTCTGGAGTCATAAAGCAGCAATACCTTCCTGTTGGAGATGCAGGGACTGGGCTCTTGCTGTTTGGGGTAATTGGTGAATGGTAGGATGGGAGAGCTTCCTCTACAGGCCTTCGTGGTGATTATTTTAGTTGAGGTTTCCTTTATTAATTTTCTCATTACCTATTCAAAAAATAAATTATTTTTAAAAACTACCAACTTAGACAACTACCATTGGCCACTGGCAGAGGTCTGAGGATGCTTAAGTGAGCAAACAATTAAATGAAAAGGAACAAATGAGAGATTTGGGGCCCCCAATGAGAGATGTCAAGGAATTATACTGACATCCTCCCCTTGCACATGCTGGCCACTTGCAGAGCCTGAGCGCTGCTAAGAGATTGGGGCTCTTAAGTCTTCCTGAGGGGTACAGAGTATGGCGATATCAAGAGGCAGCACCAACCTTGAGCTTCTGGAACTTTCTCTGGGTCTGGATGTGGGATCCTTTTGGGTGAGACCTTTACATAATCTTTTACAGCAGGACAGTCCGTCCTCCAACTACCTCCACAGCCTTGTGGCCATTCTCCACTGTCCTTTGATTGATGGGTGCGCATGCACATTGAGAAATGCTGCAGTCTGTGCTGTCGTCCCCTTCTAGCCCAAATCCACCCCTTTCTCTCCCTCTCTGGAAAGAACATCTGGATGGCAGTGAGAATTCCAGTGTTATAGAAATAGGGTCAAATCTGGGGCTGGCCCCGTGGCCGAGTGGTTAAGTTCATGCGCTCCGCTGCAGGCGGCCCAGTGTTTCGTTGGTTCGAATCCTGGGCACGGACATGGCACTGCTCATCAAACCACGCTGAGGCAGCATCCCACATGCCACAACTAGAAGGACCCACAACGAAGAATATACAACTATGTACTGGGGGGCTTTGGGGAGAAAAAGGAAAAAAATAAAATCTTTAAAAAAAAATAAGGTCAAATCTGCTCTTATTCACATAAAAAGGCAAATCATACACAGACTCTGCAAGTGTGTGCTGAGTCACAAATCACGCGTTACGTACTGCAGGGTAGCTTGTCTCCCTGCAGCCTCGAATCTGGCACTTGGCTGAGAACCTGACTGAAAACCCCACCAGGGCCCTGAGGGTCAAGTTCTTACCATGCTCACTCTGGCTCCGTCTCCTGGCATCGCTCCTCCAAGTGCCGTTAGCTGCTGGTCTTCAAGGTGATGCGGAGCTTGTGCCAGAAGGAAAATGAACTTTGTCACTAAGCAGACTGCTGCATTCAGCTGACACTTGATGAAAGAAGCAAGGCAGATAAGATGGGCCCTTGGAGCAGAAGTGCATGGAAGGAGCAGTTAACAACAGTTGCTTCTTCCAGTTCCATGGGGCAGCACCGTGAGGTTCAAAACACACCCTTGCAGGGCTTGGGCAGAGGCAGGCGAGCCCCTGAGGATGTCCCAACAGACCCCAGCTGTACCCCCTTGTACCTGCTGCCGAAAGTTTCTGTCTCAACTTGAACCAACCACGTGGCCCCAGTGGTGCATCCTCTTGAGCAGGCAGAGCCTCTGGAGACCAGCAGGCCTGGAAGAGACATCACTTTAGTTGACACATTAACTGCCCACCCTCTGCAGCCTCCCCCAGGTTCTGTTCCTCTGTGATGTTACAAAAACAGAGAGCAAAACCTGCCCCTCGGCGTGTCACAGCGTCCAAGAGCAAAGCGCCTCGTCCTGTTTTCGTGGACTCCACAGCAATGCTGTCCTTGAATTAGCATTTATCTTCCTGCCCTCTGCCTTCCGAGGGGCCGTGCAGTACTGGTTTGACTTATCTTCCTGTGTCTGTTGTAAAACTGCAGTTATGACGTCACTAAGTGTCCTCCTCAGTGTCCTTTAGATAGAGCCTCTGGCTACATTTTGGCTTCGTTTCGTTCCAAGGGGGAACGTCTCTGCAGACACAGTGTGAAGACAATGTTGTTCCTTATCTTTCTTCTTCTGCTTTTACTTCAGCTGCCCGAACCCAGTGCCTGGGTTCATGCCCCGTTGCAGTAAGTGGCTCATCTCAGCGGTCTCACGGCTTATCTTGCTTGGAATCTGGGTTCAAATCCCACTTCTGCCATCTACTTAGCTGAGTGACCTGGGGTGGTCATGTGACCTCTCTCTATCTCAGCTTCTGCTTCTGTCACCTGTGAATAATAACGAATAATATCACTACTGACACCCTGCGCTTGGAAGATGGACAGATCCTGTCTGTAAATTGCAGAACACTGAGCACTCAATGAAGGGTGTTCTCTTGTCTTTGCTCAGCTCAGTGATTGACATTGGGAAACCCTTCACGTTCTCCTGGAAACAGGCAGGCAGCATCTTCAGTAAAATTAGCAAAATCTTCTGGCCTGGATAAAATATGGGAAGAGGCTGATAGCTGCATGTTCATTTGCATAATCTGCATAAGAAAAACCTTAGTGTTTCTTTTGCATTCAGAATGTCTGTTCTTCTTGGAGTCAGAGAGTTGCTGTTGCTCTGAGCAGCTTCAGAGAATCCCACGGAAGGCGCATGCCAGAGAAGACACCCCTAGGGAGAATTAACTCGGCCGCCACCAAGGCACCCTCACCCTGGGTGCCACCCTCATGGACAGTTCAGGAGATGGCTTCCCTTTGCCCCCAGACCTCTCCCGCACCTCTCCTCTTGCGGCTGTGGGCTCAGAATACAAAGTAGTGTTATGAAGGTACAGATGTTTTCAAGATAATCATGCACAAAATAATTGCAGTAGGATGCCAGGAGCTTCCCCTGCCACGTGTCCACTTCTCTGACAGCCTTCTTGGGCTTGCAGGCCTGCCTGGGTTGTCAGCGGCAGCGTGGCAATCGTGGGGTGTCGCCTCCACCTGCAAATGCTTTTCATAGCCATGCCAAGTGGATGCAGTTGTTTTGAGTGGCTTCTGCTTTGTGGTCCTGGATACCTGGGAGTTGATGATCAAGGCTGCTTAGCTGGGGGTGTGAGGCAGGAAGGCCCTGGAAATGCAGCATCTGGGGAGGGTGGAGTGTCCTTGAGGCTCCCAAAGGTCCTGCTTTGCTCAGCTCTGCCTGATGGCCCCGGTGCCCTTTCTGCTTCCTTCCTCCAGGTATGCACGGCCTTCACTGCAGAGTACGGCAGGTACGGACACGTCAAGATGCACCATGGCTACACCAACGTGCTGGGCCTGGGGGACTCCAGCACATGGAGGCTGCCTTTCCTCAACCGCTATGTCTACATGTTCCTTGCTCCTTTCTTGATCCCCATCATAACCCCACTGGTGGCTGTTGGTGAGTATGTCAGGGCTGGGCCCTGCAAAGATCTGGTCCCCTCTTCCTTCCTTCCCCTCCTGGCTCCGTGGAGGCTGCTTGTGGAGGAAGCTAGGAGACTTGAGTGAAGTCTGGACAGAAAGTTTCTGGGACAGGCAGGCAGGGTGGAGAGAGCCTTGGACCTGCGGCCAAGTTTGGCTTTGCCACTTACTGGCTGGTGACCTCAGGCAGTAAGTAAAGTAAGTAGAACTTAACGTCTCTGAGTCTCAGGTTCTTACCTGCTCCTCAAAGGTGGCGTGAAAGCATTATGAGGTCACCGATGTAAAAACACTTTGTAAATGCCTCGTACTGTGTTGCGTGTTATAATTTTTAATATTATGGGAGCAATATACAGTGGAAGCAGCAGGGGCTAGGGGGCCCTCAGTTCAAGCCCCAAGCCACCACTCACTATCAGAGTGACCTTGGTCAAGTTGCTTAACACTCCATTTCCTCCTCCATCACATGGGTGAGCCTACTTTTCAGGGCTGTGTATGGGTCAACTGAACACACCTGGGTCACCCTGTTTACACCACTGAGCCACGAGGAGCCAGCTCTGTTGGATCTGAGCCTTGTGCATCCCTCCCTCCATTTCTTGCTCCTTCTGGCAGAGCGGCTGAGAAAGGTGGAGCTCAGGGCGGCTCTGCGGACGTTTGGCCTGATTTTGCTGGGCCTTTATTCTCACTACTGGCTGCTCCTGAACGTGTCTGGCTTCAAGAGCCCTGGGTCGGCCCTGGCCTGCATGCTCCTCACCAGATCCCTGCTGGCCCACCCTTACCTCCATGTCAACATCTTTCAGGTGAGGCCTCCCTGACCCTGGGTGCTGCGGGGTATGGGGAACATTCTCCAGGTGCCTGACCACAGGCTGGACTCAAGGTTCTGGGGAGAGAGAGGACACCTGTGTGGGAGGGAGGCTCACCTCCCGTCCAGGCCTCTGCTCTTCTCTGCGGGCCATCACAGAGAGTTTTGGTCTCAGGTAAGGAATTTGCTTCTCTTCAGTGCTGGTTGCCATTCATGCATGGATCAGAGGTTTATTAAGAACCTTATATGCATAGGGCACTTGAGGAAGCCCTGTGGGGACACAAGTGATTAGGACCCCAGCTCTTTCCCTCAAGGTGCTCACTGTGATAAGCCCAAGTGAAGTGAGGCAAGGGCCATCACAGGGGGCCCAGCATATGCCGTGAGGTGGCGCATGGAGGAGCTGGGGATGGCAGGCCTTCATGGGAGGCCAGGGGCTCGGCCCCCAGTTCCAGGGCTGTTTCTGCAGGGATGGACCTCGCTGTGCTCCCCTGACCAGTGGAGACCCGGGTTAGAGCATGCTGTCTGTCACCATCCCAGTGCTCCCCACAAAAGCCCTCAATGACGTAGTCCCATAATCGTGTCCCACCTGCACGTCCTGCTAGAACAGAAGCTCTCGTTCACTTCGGCATCCCTTCGACCTAGGCCAGTGCCTGGCAGAGGAGGCATTCCTATACACCTGTTGAATGAAAAAATACATGAGGATGCACGAACTTGATCTTGAATGATGAGCAGGATTTTGATTGGTGAAAAGAGAGCAGAGAAGGGTTGCTTCAGGATGAAGCAAGGGCATGGTGACATGAGAGCAAGCAGTGAGCAGTCACAGACTTTAGAGTACCCAGGGATGTGAGGGGTGCCCAGGCAAGCCCCTTATTGTACAGATGGAGAGAGAGGCGCAGAGATGGGCGAGACTGAACTCAGGACACAGGCGGGAGAACCCCAGCCTCCTCATGCCTCTACCAGGTCGCCCCAGAGTCGGGTGAGAAGGGCAGAAGAACCCACTGGGTCCCCGAGTGCTAGGTGAGGATGCCTGGGGCAGGGTGAGGAGGGGCAAGGTCCCCCGGTCCAGCCCAGGGTGTGACTCGTGTGTCTGTTACAGCACATCGGGCTGCCCATGTTCTCCCAGGACAAGAAGCCCCGAAGGATTCACATGATGAGCCTGGGCGTGCTTAACCTGCCCCGGCTGCCCGTGCTGGACTGGGCGTTCGGCCACTCCATCATCAGCTGCCACGTGGAGCACCACCTCTTCCCCCAACTCTCTGACAACATGTGCCTGAAGGTAGATGAGGTCGGGCTGGAGCAGCTGGGATGCAGGAACTATGTGAGGGCAGAGGGGGAGTGACCTTCAGGGTTCTCTGACCAACTGGCCTGGTCAGAGGTACCCAGGGAGGGCAGCACAGTATACAAGCAGCGGGTGGGGGGTGGGGGGAGTGTTTCTGATCAGAGACACCTGGGTTTCTTCCTAGCTGTGCACAAGTTAACTGAATGTCTCTGAGCTTCAGCTTTCTCATCTGTAAAATGGGAGTGAGCAGGGCTTACGCTGACAGGCTCTGAGGATGAAATGAAGAAATGGATGGGAAATGTTGGGCACGCAGGAGGTACTCAGTAAAGGGTGCCATGACTTGTGCCCCCGTGTGCCAAGGAGGCCTGTCACACAGTCGGGAGCCCTGGGGAAGGATGGTGGCGAGACGGCCCCCCTTTCCCTTGCCTGCTGGGAGTGGGGAGGCAGGAATTCTCCAAGCCCCTCCACTCCTCAGAGCGTCATGGAACAAGGCAGACAGGAGCTGGGGCTGCGAAGAGGAAGCGCCCACGGGGGTGGGCCTGCCGCAGTCCTGGCTCAGCAGCTCCTCCTCCCACCCATCTTCTGGCAGGTGAAGCCGGTGGTGTCCCAGTTCCTCCATGAGAAGCAGCTGCCCTACAACGAGGACTCCTACCTGGCTCGCTTCTGGCTGTTTCTCAGTCGCTACGAGGAGCTCATGGTGCAGGCCCCTCCCATCACTGAGCTGGTGGGGCTGCAATGAAGGGTGGGCCGGCACAATCACCCTGCTCCCCCTCCTAGGCCCAACCCTGGCTCTCCCGCTTCTGCTGGCCATCTCTGAGGACGGGAGGGCTTGGGCCCTTCCACAGTGGGTGTGGCTCAGTTGCTGATGGTGGACCATGGAGGTGCTGGGCGGGCAGTATGGCAGAGCTCATGCCAGGGGGCTGGGCTCACCTGTCCTACTTGCTTTTCTGGGTTTCAAGGGATATCTGGAGGAAAGGAATAAAGGTGGCGAGGCATTCTGGTCAGTCTGGACCTTGGACAACTTCATCTCAGGACTAAACAGCTGGATTCCTGCCCCCGCTCTGTCTGAGCCTTGATAGGGCTAAGGGACAAGGGTGACAGGGGTGCAGAGAGGCCCTGTGCAGGGGGAAGGCTGGGAGGAGGCGCCGAGAGAGAAGGGTCAGCCCCTTGCCGAGGGCCTCCCTGGAGCCAGGAGAGCCCCACACTTGGTTGGCCATTGCTTCCTCCTGTGCCCTTTGAGGCTCTGGCCTCTAAGGAGCCCTCTCTCCAGGGACCACGGTGAGAGGTTACTTTTGGCAGAACTCCCTAGTTTTTCAGCCGGAGAAGCCTGTGCCAGACACTGGCTCGGCAGCTCCCAAGAGTCACAGCATCAGAGAGATCAGAGTGTGTGTGTCTCGTGGGGAGAGCACTCCAGGGGAACTAAGGGGAGAAAGGGTGTAAATAGCTTTGAGCATGGCCTTCGCTAGCTCTAGAAAATCTACTTTGTTCCATGATGTCTAGAAGGGGTAGACATGGAAGCAGTATCAATTGAGAGAGAGAAAAATTACTGGGAGGGTAGCTGAGATGGGAGGGGTTTATGGGAACGGGTCTGGAGGACAGATGGTCTTAAAGAGGAGAGGAAGGACGGTGGGTGCAGATACAAGAGCTGGAAGTCAGGGGCTGGGCTGGGCTGGGAAAGGATGGTGTGTAGCCTGGGAGTAAGGTAGGAATATAAGGGAACTACTCATGTCAGCCAGAGGAAGAGGTCAAGGTGCTGGGGGACACCACTGAGTCAGCCTAAAGTGGGCAGACTTGAGAGAGGGCTGGCAGTTGCCCTGCTTGGGGGCTGGATGAGAGGGTGCAAGGAAGGACCCAGCTGGAGTCTGAGGGAGGGACAAAGGAGGCCAGAGCAGTTAGTTTCAAACAGGGTTTTACACCTTGGCACTATGACATTTAGGCTGGATAATTGTCGTCGGGGCCTGTCCTGTGCATTGTAGCATGTTTAGCAGCATCCCAGCTTCTACCCACTAGGTGCCAGGAGCCCAAGTTGTGACAATCAAAAATGTCTGCAGATAATGCCAAGTGTCCCCTGGGAGGCAAAATCATCTCTGGTTGAGAACACGCAAGTCATGTTCTGAGCGCATAATTGCCTTGTTTTTCAGTGAAGTCCTTGGGCAAGGTGAAGGGCATGCTGACCCTGATGATGGGGAGCCTAAATGCCAACAAATGGGATGGCCAGAGGGGTCAGATGGCAGGTGACAGCATTCTTTAAGCCCGGTCCCGTTGGAGAACCCATCTCTGGTGTGGTCTTAGGTGGCTCTGCTGGGTAGCTGTCATTTGCCCCTTGAGATCCATTCCCCACTCTTCTCCACCCCGCCTTCCTCTACTGAAGACCACAGCTCCTGTCAGGCGTCCTCTCCTACAGCTACTGCTCTCACTAGTTCCCAAACAGCTCCCTCCTTTTGGTCCTTCAGGGCTTGGGGTGGTAGTGGCTTCCAGCTGTTGCTAGCCCAGGGGTGCTTCACTATTCCCTTAATCCTGCTCATATCTCTATACAAAGTTCCTTCATTAAATTCTCTGCAATCAGCCCTTCTGAGTGTGCCATCTGTTTCCTGCTGGGAGGCTGACTGAGAGAGCAGAGTTTTGGATCCAGACAGCCCTCTTGGAACCAGGCAGGCTTGGCAGCCTCCCCAGCCTACTGCTTTGCTATATGTTATTGCTGCTCTTTCGAAATGCATTAGCAGCTCAGAAATGGCCTTAAGGTCTGGGAGTGTGATTAATCAAACTGCTGATTCTCCATATGAAAAATGCAATGTCAGAAAAGGCCCCATTGCACAGTCCTGGATAATGATTAAAACCATCCTAATAGATAACCAATGACTCATTGTTATTGATTTGGGCCTGAGTGGGGAATGAGCAGCAGCTGGAGGCCCTGGTACCAGACTTGGAGGTACCACAGACACACGGGAACAAGTCACTTGATTGCTTTGAGGCTGGATTTTCTGTTACTCTGAGTATGTGGGCTGGGAGTGCATGGGCCTTGAGAGGTGAGGGAGGTGACAGAAGTGAATGAAGCCCTTCTAGGGCTCAGCATAAACCTAAGGTCTGATTTACAGAGGCCTATGAGAGGTGACAATTTTGATGACGATGATAGCTAACATTTATTCAGAACTTATGGTTCATACTTTTACCTACGCCATCTGATTTTAAATTTCTACAACAAGTTTGTACTATTTTTTCCTCACATTATGTATGGTGAAGATAAGCTTTGGAGAGATTAAATTTCTCAATGTCATATAGCTAGCAAGTGGCAGAAGAAGGATTCAAATCCACTGTGTCTGACTCCGGAATTCCCTGGTCTTAACCACCAGATGTAATGCTTCTGGATGAGGAGCCCTATAGGGCTTTCTAGGGTGTCTGATCCTGAATCTCCTTCTCTTCCTCCTATGTGAAAGGATAATAAATGATTTGACCATTAACACAAGCTCTTTATGAACATCCATCATGCTCTGGGCACTGTGTGAAGCTCTGGGAATGAGACTGGGCCCTAGCCTCCTGGAGCTTACTGTCTAGTGCAGGAGTTGGCAAACTTTTTCTGTAAAGGGCCAGAGAGTAAATATTTTGGGCTTTGTGGACCATATGTTTTCTGTCACAACTACTCAAGTGTGCCATCAAAGGGTGAAAACAGCCAGAGACAATATACAAAGATATGAGCACGGCTGTGTTCCAACAAAACTTGTTTTAATTGTATGGGATTATCACGTCACAAAATATTATTTACCATTTTTAAAAAACCATTTAAGAATGTAAAAACCATGAGCTTGCAGGTTGTACAAAAACAGGTGGTGGGCAGGATTTGGCCTGCAAGCCATAGTTCGCCTACTCTTGGTCTAGTGGGACAGGCACAAAGCACAATGACTTACTAGAAATCAGGACAGAAGAAGGGAGGGGAAGTGACTAGAGGGGGCACAAGGGGTTCCTGGGGTGCTGGCCATTTTCTGTTTCGTGATCTGGGTCATGGTTACATCTTGTGATAATGCATCAAACAGTACACTTATGATTTGTGTACTTTTCTGTTTATTATACTTTAATAAAAAAAGATAAAAAATAAGGCAGTGTAATAAGTAGTGATGGGGTAGAATGGGGGGGGGGGACAAAGGGGGCCCTAATCTAGCTTGGGAGAGGATGGGTTAGGGAAGCCTTGTTCAAGGAAGTGTTTGTTTGACAAGAGGGCCCTTGGAGGAAAAGGAAGCTGAAGCTGGCATTAGGCTCTTAGGTCTGACATGACCACAGATCCTATCATTTAAAAATATCTTTCGTTCATCATGGATTTTTCGCATTAATTTTGATCTTTTAAAACTTTGCATTACAATATTATTTACCTTGATTACTGAGGTTTCTGGTGCCCCCTTAAATTCTGCACCCGAGGCCAGTTCCTCACTCGCCTTACCCTATTCCAGCCCTGTTGGACAGGGGTCGGAGATCTGGCTCTGTCCTTAGTATCGAGAACGAGACGCTTCTCCCGTTTCCTCATCTATGTAAAGGGGAGGGGGTGAGGCGGGAAAAGATCTCCAAGGTTTAAGATTCTCCCTGGCCCGACCTGGACGGCATCTTGCCGAGTTCACACGTGTATAACGTCCGGGGTTGGTGACAAGGGGACCACGGTCCCGGCTGGAGTCCCTTTTTTCCAGACTTCCGGACTCCGTGGTTATTACCCAATAGGCGGGGAGGCTCGCTTGAGCCCGACTCATGATTGGCTGGGACGAACCCAGCTCTGGCAGCGGGTGGGGCGTACGTTCGCAAAAGCGAAAGGCGCATTGCGTCATCAGCAAGCGACGAGAGCTTCCGAGAGGGAGAGGCTAAGTAAGGAGAGCTCCTTTCTAATTGGCTATCTCCTTCAGGCGGGATTGAAACGGCCGTGAGGACTCGTTCTTCTCCAACTCTGGGCTCCGGATAATTGGAGGGAGGATGGAGAAATTTACTGACACGTACAGTCCGGAAGTCCTGGGGGCGGGTCTTCAGAAGAAGCGGGTGGAGCCGAGGGCGGGCTTCTCTTTTGGGGGACGGGATTCTTTCGGGCGTGGGTGTGGTGGAGCCGGCACGCTGTGCTTTCCCAGAGCGTGGGAGGCGGGGCCGCGCCTGTGGGCGGGGCCGGGGCGGGGCGGGGCCGGGGTCCGGGTCCGGCCGGTTGTGAGCGTGGAGAGCAGGGCAGACGCGGTATCAGATCTGCTGGCAGGTCGCTTGTCCCAGCCATGGCTCCACGCTGCTGGCGCTGGTGGTACTGGACGGCGTGGCCTCGGACCCGGCCCCCTCCCGCCGGCTGCACCCTGAGTAAGAGCGGGGCACCTCTGAGGCTGAATAGGAGCGCGGGGAGGCCTGCGAGCGCTAAGTTTAGGGGTCGGAGCCGAGCTGGAAAGGGGCGATAGAGGGGACCAGAGATGAGACTGGTGGGGTCCACTCGTGCAGATGAGATGGGGGTGGTGTACAGGGGCGGATGGGGGCCTGTGCGGTGAGGTGTGAGGCCCCTAGGGTGAGACGGGGGTCAACAAGTGTGAGAAGGGGAGACCATGATGTCCACAGTTGTGAGAAGGGGTGAACGGGGTGCTATGGAGGTCTGTGGGGAAAGAGGGAAGTCTGAGGTGAAACAGGGTCTATAGGAATGAGACAGGGGTCTATGTGGGCAGTAAAGGGTTCTGTGGAGAGAGGGGTTAGAAGAGGTAAAATGGGACCCTTGTGGAGAGATTCACAAGAATGAGAGTGGGATGATGTGGGATCCGTTGGAAGGACGTGGTATTCTAGCTGGGTGGGTAGGGAACCCCATAAGAAAAATGAAGTACTGTGCAGGGCAGCTTCAGGGGTGATGGGGTCATTGAGTGGGCCATCTTCAGTGGTGTAGTAAGTTCATGCATGAGGTGTGGGGTTCTGGATGAAGACACAGCTTTTGGGGGTTCAGATGAAGTAAGGAACACTGCAAACCCCAAAGCTTTGAGGGAAAGGAGAAGGAAGGTGTGGATGAGGGTGAAGCTTGGGAAGCTCCATCTTCTGTTTGACACTGAAGTTGGTTTGGGATGGGGAGGGAGTGTCAATCTGACCACCTTCCCCCCTCCCCTCCCCAGGCGTCCGCCAGCAGTTCTCCACACAGGAGCAGACGCCCCAGATCTGTGTGGTGGGCAGTGGCCCAGCTGGCTTCTACACGGCCCAACACCTGCTAAAGGTAAGCCACATCCTCCTGGTTCGCTCTCCCACCATTCACCTGCTCCAATCCTAAGGGCAAGCCCTACCCCTTTGGGTTTTAAAAGCACTCCTGGATCCCTGATGGGGAAGGGGGTCCCAGCCTGTCAAGACTAGACACTTCGTACATGCTTTGTCACCTACATCTGTGACAAGTGTCTCTAAAATCCTCAGCTATGAGAGAAGTTTGTTTGCCTGGTGGGTGATGGTCAGTGGTCAGTTGGCTATGCCTCCTTGGCCAAGCCCTTCAGGGAGCTTATATGGACCTGCAGGATGACTTTGTCCTGCCCCTCATCTTCCCTTCTGTCTCCTCCGTCTCCACTCTGTCCCCCAAATCCTGCGTCTCGAGGCTGCCCCCTCTTCTCAGGGTTTTCTGTCACTTTGTGCACCTGGCCGAGCTCTCCTCACCAGAGTTCCAGCCCTCCGCACGCTCTGCTGTCCTTGCAGCCTGCTCTCCACTCCCCATCCCCCAATCCAAAGGCCAGCGTCTCAAGGCTCACAGTACTGGCCTTGGCGGGCAGGGCCCCACGGCTGCTGATTGCTCTTCAGCCTTCAGCAGACCTTGGCGGGAGGGAGGATCGGGGGAGACCCGTGGCTCAGAGGGGGAAAGGGAGGCCTAGGCTGACTAAGACATGAGGCAGTGACCTTGCTTTGGAGGGACTTGGCGTGTCCATGGAGAGATGGGAGAAAGGATGAATATATTAGTTATACAACCTCATATGCAGATACTTAAAAGGTAGGGTGACTAACCCCAGTTTGCCCAGGACGTGGGGCTTTCAATGTTAAAACTGGAAGGGTCTTGGGGAAACCAGGATGCGTGGGTCATCCTGCTGAAAAGTGGCCTAAGCATGCCTTCCAGGCACCTCGGGTGAGGGAACTAATTATGCTGATATGACCAGCATGAGCCGAGTTAGGCAGGGTCAGTGAGAAAGTGTTTCCTGGAGAAGGTGTGTTTGAGCTGCATTGAAGGAGGCCGTGGGCCCTGGAGAGGGCCTCCCACAGTGGGGGAGTCATCCACGGGCAAACTGCCACATGGAAGGACAGCTTTGGGTTCTGGGAACAAGACCAGGGATCTCATGGGAGCTGGGGAGGTCCTGGAGGGCTTTGTGTAAGGGGCACTGTGTTAGCTGAGCCTGAAATTGTGGCGGGGGCGCGGGCTTCCAGGCTGGATTCTCAGCGCCCCTGCTGTGGGTAAAGGTTCTGGCCTACACTCAGGTGGCAGACGCGGGCATGTACTTCGCCTGTAGGAGGTTCTGGGGGATGGACACAGAGGCCAGTTACAAGCTGGTCCTTGCCCACTGGAAGCTCCAAGCTACTGACTGTGCTCCCACAGCAGGAACATGTGCCACACATTTGGGGCAGTGGCACTTGGCTGAGTCAGGCACTGTACAGCATCTCATTGCATCCTCAAGACGACCTGCGAAGCAGGAATCTGTCATGACTCTTGCTTCACAGGTGAGGACACTGGGGCTGAGCGAGGTTGCCCAAGGTCCCACCTGGACAAGGAAGGCGCTGGGATCTGAGCCCAGGCAGTCTGACGGCAGAGCTCACTCTTGAGCACCATGCTAGGCCGTTCAGTAATCAATTACTGGACACCGACATGTTCCAGGCACAGGCTTGCCACTGGGGACACAGGTGTGAGCAGGACAGAGGTGGTCCCCATGCTCAAGGACCTGACAGTCTAATGTGGGGTGTTGTGGAGTGGAGGGGAGAGGGTTTACACGGTATTCCAGGGCTCCGATGGTGTAATCACAGAAACTGGGCGGGCGGATACAGAGAGGACCACCTCACCCAGCCTAGAGGAAGAGATGTCCAAATTGCTGTCTGAAGGATGGAAGGAGTTGCCAGGAGGCTGGGTAGAAGGTGAGAGAGTCCCAGGTACAGAGCACCACATGGACAAAGGCTGGGAGGAAGGAGGGAATGCATGAGGGTGGAAGCGTGTGAGTAAGGCTCGAGGAGGTAGGTGAGCCCAGATCCTGGGGACTTGGGAACCACCGACCAGGCTCGGATGCAGTCAGTTTCTCTTGATGCTGTCCACCCTCCCTTCTTCCCTCCATCAGAGTCCTTGGGGGTACTTATTAAATGCATTAAAATGCACACTTCTGGGGGCCAGCCCGGTGGTGTAGTAGTTAAGTTTGCGCACTCTGCTTCAGCGGTCTGGGTTTGCAGGTTTGGATCCTGGGCGGGGACCTACACCACTCATCAAGCAATGCTGTGGCGGCATCCCACATTACAAAGTAGAGGAAGGTGGGCACAGATCTTAGCTCAGGGCCACTCTTCCTCAAGCGAAAAAAGAGAAAGATTGGCTACAAGTGTTAGCTCAGGACCAATCTTCTTCACCAAAAGAAAATAAACAAATAAAAGGCACATTTCTGGGCTTAGCTCAGACCTAATCAAACTGTGCCTAGGGCCCAGGAATCAACAATTTTAAACAAGCACACCAGGGGGATCCGGTGCGTGCTGCTATAGGTGGTTGGCTTCACTGAAGGGTATTAGGCAAGGGACTGACAGCACCCCAGTTTTGATTTGGAGCTCTCTCTGCCTGCAGGGCAGACAGCGGAGCAGGGAGGCAGGGCTGGTGGCCGGGAGAGCAGTGGGAGCTGCTGGGGTGGCAGTGGGAGGAGGAGGGGAGGGTGGGGGTCTGATTGGACAGGGTCAAGGAGGGCCCCAGGCTCTGCCTGGGCTCCGGGTGGATGGGGTGGACGGGATACAGGAGCAGACAGGGGGAGGTTTGGGGGAGGGGGAATTGGCTTTAATCCAATGGCTTTGATGTGTCTGGGGCGAGTTGTCCAGGAGTCTCAGGTTTGGAGCTTCGGGGAGATCTGGGCGGGACAGAGGGAGCGGAACGTCATCAGGAAATCTGCAGGAATTTGAGGTCACAGTGGGGAGTGGATGAAACTTGCCCAGGGAATGTGTGCCTGGGGGAAGGGAGGGTCCCGGACTGGAAGAACCTCCGAGAATATTTTTGTTAGAGGACAGACAGAAGAAAAAGGGACTGAGAAAGCACAGCTGGTGGGATCAGAGGGAACTGCGAGGCTTGGGGAGGAGAGGCTTCCTGAAGACGAGGTCTGCCCTGGGAGATAACCAGGGAACGCATCAGCAGATTTAGCATGATGGAGGGGGCCTTGGAGAGAGCAGCGTGACTCTGACTCGGGAGGATCCACAGCACAAAAGAATGGAAGATAAGGATGAAAAGTTGCACTGTGTACAGTGTTGACCACCAGGTTGAGCAGTTTGAACTTCGTCCCATGGCCGTGGGCAGCCGGGGAAGGTTTATGAGCAAGGCAGTGATACGCAACCATAACAACAGCAGTAATAGTAATGATAGCTTTTTGATTGAACACTCACAAGGGGTCCAGCCCTGGGCTAAGTGCTTCAGGCCTTGCTCATTTAATCTTGAGCGTCTCGCCAGAAGGGATGTGCAGAGAAGTTAAGAAACATTCGTTCCCCGTGGCACAGCCAGGGAGTGGTGGGGCTGGGGTTGGCCTCCACTGCTGTGGACTCTGAAGCTGGAACGCTTCCTGGGCGCAGCATCAGTGGGGCTTGAGGGGGTGGTTCAGGTGCCCCCGTGGCTTGTGCGGGATGGGGAGAGTCAGGAGCACAGATGGGTGGTCAGGGGCTGGACTTGGGTGCAGGCAGGGGAGTGGAGGGGAAGAGGGGCTTAGACAAAGACGAGCAGATGACCCTGAGCCTTTGTTTGGGTAAAGGTGACTGGTGGGCAGGAGCTCATTTGGCTTGAGTCCCATTGAATGGGGAGTATTACAGCAAGGGCCTAGGACAGGGGTGCGAGGCAGGGCGGTGTCGTCCATAGGAGCCTGAGCTGCTGGACTTGCAACCTGATTGTGGCCCAGAGTCTTGCAACATCCTGACCTCCTGGATGCTTCCCAGCACCCTGAGAGGGAGGTGTTATCTGTCCCAGTTTGCAGAGGAAGAGACAGACCCAGGCAGATCCTGGGACTAGCTGGTCATGTGGCTGGTTGGTGGTCGTGTGGCTGGTTGGTGCCCGATCCCCACGGCCCCTCTAGGTACCCGGAGGGCAGGCAATGTGGGACCAATGTATGAGTGAGATTCTTTTTTCTAAGAATAAGAGTAGGGCCAGTTCCATCTCCCTCTGCGCCTCTCATGCCCCAGCTGTGCCTCCACCTCCCTGTCCTGCGTGTCCCCTTTCCAACAGGATGATCTTAGAGATTAGAGCTAAGGCAGATATGAATTTCAAAGGGTGGTTCTCAGGTCATCAGACTGGCCGGGCATTTCTAGAAGTGTCGAAGGGTTCTAGGGCACAGCTGTGTCACGCTTGACCTAAGTAGATGAAGAAGCTCCCCTGATACGACTCCGCTGGAGGGAGCCTTCCTTCCTTGTCCGGAGCTCTCACCATCTCAATGGGCCGGCAGTCCTCAAGGTCTGACCTCAGCCGCCCTTGCTGCTGTGCTGCCCCATTCCTGTGCTCTGGCTCTCTGGGCAGGTGGGGAGTAAGGGGCCTCTCTCGTTGCAGAGCGTCGAGGCCTCCTTGTGTCCTCAGCCCACTAAGATGAGCTGTATTCCTCTGTCCTGGGAAGGGGAGGACCAGTAGGGGCCCAGCCTCTCCCTCGGCCCCATCTGCCACCGCCTTCTCCCCCAGCACCACCCCCGGGCCCATGTGGACATCTTCGAGAAGCAGCTCGTGCCCTTTGGCCTGGTGCGCTTTGGCGTGGCACCCGACCACCCTGAGGTGAAGGTGGGTCTCTCTGGGCGTGGAGGGGGGCGTGGAGACTTCCGTCGAGGTAAGGAGCGAAGGGAGGCTCCCTGGCCGCATGGAAGGACCCCAGGCCCTCTGTGTGAATGCCACCCAGGTTCCATCCTGGGGACGTTGTGGGGTGAGGGTGGCACAAGAGCTGCTCCACCCTCTAACCCCTCCCACTCTGGGGCCCGGCAGAATGTCATCAACACCTTTACCCAGACGGCCCACTCTGACCGCTGTGCCTTCCACGGCAATGTGGTGGTGGGCAGGGACGTGACCGTGCCAGAGCTGCGGGAGGCCTACCACGCTGTGGTGCTGGTGAGCACAGACGGGTCCTGGGTGGGGAGGAAGGAGATTGGGGCAGGGCAGCGGCAGGAGGTTGGTGGCTGAGGGATGGAAGGCGGTAGGAGTGTGGCCCAAACCACTGGGCGTGGGCCAGGGTGGAAGCTGCGGAGGAGGAGCTGGAAGGGGGCCTCTGGGAGCGTGGCGGGGGCAGCCCCTTAGTGGTGCTGAGGGCTCTGGGTGTTTCCTCAGAGCTACGGAGCAGAGGACCATCAGGCCCTGGGAATTCCGGGGGAGGAGCTGCCCGGTGTGTTCTCAGCCCGGGCCTTTGTGGGCTGGTACAATGGGCTCCCTGAGAACCGGGAGGTGAGTTTGGGGAGCACTCCCACTGCCTCTTCCTCCCCACCCCTCAGCCAGGGCCAGGGGCAGCCCTCGGACACCACAGCCAGGGGAAGAGGGAGGCATTGTCCAGAACTAGGAGGCTCTCAGTGAGATGAGATGTGAGACATGAGGCTGAGCGAGGGGGAGGTCAGCTGTGGAAGGCCTCCGGGAAGAGGTGGGGTCGGGTTGGCGCAGGGACCTGAACTGAGGCTTGGGTGGGGTGCACTTTCCAAGTGTTGGGGAGCCTGAGGGTATGCTGGGGACCGGGCATGAGACTGAGATTAGTCTGACTGGAGCCAGGGCTGGGGGACCCTATCCAGGCTTCTCCCCTCCAGCTGGCGCCAGACCTGAGCTGTGACACAGCCGTGATTCTGGGCCAGGGCAACGTGGCTCTGGATGTGGCCCGGATCCTGCTGACCCCACCTGAGCACCTGGAGGTGAGTGGGGAGGTCAGAAGCTGGAGGGCTGGAGTTGAAGTTCCACTGAGGACTGGGTGCCCCTGCCTGCAGGCTTCAGGCCTCCTCCCTCCAAGCTGAGCTCGGTGCCTCTGTTTCCCCATGGTGCCAGGCGGAGGGCTTCTGAGAGGCAGCCTGTGAGCTTCATCTAGTACGACTTCCCCTTCACTGTCTGCACTCTTGTTACACAGGCCTTAAAGAAACCGATTCGATGTGCACACACCACTCCCCCTGCTTGGAGCACTCTCAGCTCACCTCCTGCTGCTTTACCTGTATTCATCTTTTAGTTCTTGGCTCAGTAATGCCTTCCTCCAGGAAGCCTTCTGGGACTGCCCTGCATAGGTCTATTCCCCTCTAATGCCTTCCTCTCATAGACTTGTCTACTTCTGTTTCAAAGCGTGTTGTCACTGCTGAGATTTTATACTTATTAATGACTATTTGGTGAGTATCTCTCTCTCCACCAGATCAGAAGCTCTGTGAGGGACGGCATCATTTCTGTTTTGCTCACCGCTGACCCCCCCGCTGCCCCTTGTATGGTGCCTGGCCTGGCACATGGTAAACACTAGTTGAATGAAACAGTGGGGCCTGGTTTGCTACTAGTTGGGGCCGTTTGCAGAATTGGCGGCAGTGCTCCATCTGGCCACTGGGGGGGGCAGTGGTGCAATTTCGGGCTGCCAGCCTTCTCAGGGCTGAGGACGGGGACACAGCCAAATGGAGAGTCCCCTTCCTCTGTCAGTGTTCGATGACTTTAAAACCCTCCTTTCATGCCAGAAAACGGACATCACGGAGGCTGCCCTGGGGGTACTGAGGCAGAGTCGGGTGAAGACGGTGTGGATAGTGGGCCGACGTGGACCCCTGCAAGTGGCCTTCACTATTAAGGTGCCGGGACCAGAGGGAGAGGGGCCAGGGTCCCAGGTAGATGGTCTGCCCTTGAGAGGTGTGGCAGGACAGAGGCCCTGGGAGTGGCTGCTGCCTGGGGTGGAAGAGGGGGAGCCAACGGGGCCCCCGGGGCCCAGTGCCTTCCATGGTGGGTGGTGCTGGGGTCTCCTGCCTGGGGTGGGCTCAGGAGTGGGTGGTGCTCTGGCCTGACCTCCTCCCCCACCCCAAACCCCACCCCCAAGGAGCTTCGGGAGATGATTCAGTTACCAGGAACCCGGCCCATTTTGGATCCTGCAGATTTCTTGGGCCTCCAGGACAGAATCAAGGGTGAGGGGCCCTGGCCTGCCCCCCTAACTCACTAGGGAGGCCAAGGTCTAGGTCAGAGAGGGCTTGGGGGAGGGCACTGTGGGAGAGGCTGTAAACCAGGGACAGCCCTGAGATGTTTGTGTTGCCAGCAGAGGTCCCCCGCCCGAGGAAGCGGCTCACCGAACTGCTGCTTCGAACGGCCACGGAGAAGCCAGGGGCAGAGGAGGCTGCCCGCCAGGCATCGGCCTCCCGCACCTGGGGCCTCCGCTTTTTCCGAAGCCCCCAGCAGGTGCTGCCCTCTCCCGACGGGCGGCAGGTAGCAGGCATCCGTCTGGCAGTCACTAGACTGGAGGTGAGTCTCCTGTTACCTAAAGACACCCCTGTTCTCAAGTCTCCCCACCCCAGCTTGGCGTTGCCCACACTTGCCCCTACAGGGTGTTGGTGACACCACCCGGGCAGTGCCCACTGGAGACGTGGAGGACCTCCCTTGCGGGCTGGTGCTGAGCAGCGTTGGGTATAAGAGCCGCCCCATTGACCACAGCGTGCCCTTTGACCCCAAACTTGGGGTTATCCCCAATATGGAGGGCCGGGTTGTGGATGTACCAGGTGAGAGGATGCAAGAATGCTAGGCACCAGACTGTGGTGGGGGGCGGGGAAGCTGGTGTCTCCTGGGGCTGTTCACATTCATTCATTCATCTGGTGACATGCACTGAGAAACTGCTCTGAGCCAGGCCCTGTCCAACCCTCCTTGTAGCCCTAGCTGGGGGGAAGTTTCCAGTCGAGCTGATGTGCCCACATATGTCTGGTTCTTAAGTCGTTCAGTGACTGAGGCCTGCTCTGGGCCAGGCCCTGTGCTCAGTGCTGGGTGTGGATACTGAATGGTAGCCCCTGTCCTCAGGGAGCTTCCAGTCTGATTAAATGTTCACATACCTGACTACTCATTGATTCGGCCAGTTAATGTTTACTCAGGGGCTGCTGAAGCTGGAGATGGGTGAGACCCAGCTCCTACCCTTAGGGAGCTCCTGCTTTACAGGGAAACTGACGTGTAAGGGCAGCTGGCATGGTAAAAACAGGCTGAGATTGGGCTGGCCCACTGGCACAGCAGTTAAGTGCACACGTTCCGCTTTGGCGGCCCGGTTTTCGCTGGTTCTGATCCCAGGTGCGGACATGGCACCGCTTGGCAAGCCATGCTGTGGTAGGTGTCCCATGTATAAAGTAGAGGAAGACGGGCACGGATATTAGCTCAGGGCCAGTCTTCCTCAGCAAAAAGAGGAGGATTGGTAGCAGATGTTAGCTCAGGGCTAATCTTCCTCACAAAAAAAACAGACTGAGAAGAATCCAGGGCGGTGGGCCAGCTGCCACGGTGGGCCTAGCTGCTGGGCTGCTGGGAGGACTTGGGCTGTGGGATGTGTGCGCACACGTGTGTATTGGGGCTCAGGCTTGCAGGGGTCCAGCCGCCTCCCCTTTCCTTCCTCCTTTGTTACCCCCCTCCCAGGCCTCTACTGCAGTGGCTGGGTGAAGCGAGGGCCCACAGGCGTCATTGCCACTACCATGACTGACAGCTTCCTCACCGGCCAGATGCTGCTGCAGGACCTGAAGGCCGGGCTGCTGCCTTCTGGCCCCAGGCCTGGCTATGTGGCCATCGAGGCCCTGCTCAGCAGCCGAGGTCTGGGCCCGGAGAGAGCCCCTGGGCCTTTCCACTGTCTGGGAGGGGTGCTCTGGGCTTGGGTGGAGGAGGAGGTGGAGGCAGTGACTCATCTTCCCTCTGCCTTAGGGGTGCGGCCCGTCTCTTTCTCCGACTGGGAGAAGCTGGATGCAGAGGAGGTGTCCCGAGGCCAGGGCACTGGGAAGCCCAGGGAGAAGCTGCTGGATCCTCAGGAGATGCTGAGGCTGCTGGGGCGCTGAGCCCAGATCCCAGCCTGACGGGAGGAGAGTAGTGCTGAGCAGGGCAGAGGGGCCAGGTCACTGTGAGCAGGACTCTGCACCACAGCGGCATCGTCTGTCGCCCTGGCCCCGCGCTTGGCTGCCTCTTCCAGGGGCCTCCTAGCGCTTCCTCCTGCCAGAAGGCTGCCCTTGCCACCGTCGGGTTAGCTCTCAGCAAGGAGACACCTTAGGGATGGGTGGAGGTGCAGGCTGACCTTCATCCCTCCCGCCTCTCTCCTGCTGGGCTGTGGAGGGTCACTACGTCAGGAATATGCTGGAAATAAAACACCTGCAACAGAGGGCCACTGGTTGATGTGCGACTTCTTTTGGGGCCCAGTCACCTTCCAGCTGCAGCCCCCCTCCAGTCACCAGGTGGCGCCGCAGAGCCAGCTCCCTGCTCAGGGGCCTCTTGGGGGCTGGAGGGGCTTGGCAGCCAGGCCTGGCACCCACCCTGCCTTTCTCGGCTTGGCCCTGCTGCTGCGGCCTGCCTGCCTTCTGCCTACACTGCACTCACCGTGGGACCCCAGCCTGCGTGCTCTGTTGGCCCCACCACCTGGTCCCCTCCCTGGTTAGCCCCCAGTACAACCAAAACAAGAGAAAAAAGTGGGAGTAAGGGGATTGGGCAGCAGTTTGCCCCAGGCCTTCCCTGTGGTCTGGGGCATTTGGCATGGGCCCCCCCTCTCTAGTTGCTCCCCATGCCTTCCCGCCTTGTCCATTCCCAGCCAGATGGACAAGCCTTTTAAAAATAGTACCTCAATCTCCATAGCTCTGTGCAGTTTACAAAGTGTGTTCACTGTCTTTTATGCCAGTCACCAAGATGCTGGCTCCACTTTTTGTAGACTGAGGGGTCCTGGAAATTAACAGGCCCAAGGTCACACAGCTAGTGAGCTGCGGCTCAAACTCAGAGCTCCTGGCAGGCTGTTTTTTTTGAGGCCACACTTGGCCCCGAGTGTCGGGTCTCGGGAAACAGTCCCGGAGAGGAGAGAAGGGACTCAGGCGTCTGGCGAGCGGGCCAGCAAGGAGGGGCCTGGAGGAGCGCGGGTGCCGGCGGCGGGGTGGGCCGGCTGGGGCGGGGCCGGGGCGGGGGCGGCGGTCCCCGGTGGGGCGGGCCACGCGGGCGGCGCCGTGCGCTCCGCCACAGCCGGCTGGCGAGCCCCGGGAGCCGGTGGCGCGGCGCGCAGCCCAGCCCCGGACGGAGCCGGGCGCGCACCCGGCCACGAGGGGGGCGCTGGGCGCGGGGGCGGGCCCTGCTCAGCTCTCCAGGCCGCGCCACGGGCACCGGCCCCGCGGCGCCTGGCCTCAGGCGCCCGCCAAGCTAGGACAGACGCGCCAGAGCGCGGAGCGGGGCGCCGGGACATGCGTTGCGCGGGAGGCGGCCGGCGCGGGCTCTGGGCGCGGGCGCAGCGCCCCTTCCCCCCGGTGAGTGGCGGGCAGCGAGCCGGGGGCGCCAACTTCGCCGCCAACTTGGGGTTGGGCTCCGGCGCCGGCACGGGCAAGGACGGCGGAGACAGACGCGGGACACCGGGGAGAGTCTGGCCGGCGCAGGGAGCCCAAGGAGGGGACAGCCAGGGGACAGGGACCCTCGGGGACCAGGCCTGGGGTTTGGCCCCGGGCGGGCGGAGTGGAGGCGAGGAAGAGAGGCCGAGGTGACAGGCGCGCGCGGCAGACGCGAGGGAAGGACGCGGGCGAGGCGCCCAAGACGTTGTCTCCGGGTCGCCGAGCCCTCCAGCTCCTTCTTTGCCTGGCGCCGCGGCACCTCGGGGGAGGGGGCGGTGCGGGGACGCGGGAGTCTGGGCTGCGGGACCCGCCAACTGTTGCTGCTGGAAGCTGCTGAGCGGAGAGCGGGGCCGGAAGCTGGGGCCGCCGCCGGGTTCGGCCAGAGTGAAGGGGGCTGGAGAGGGCACGGAGCAGAGAGGACGAGAAGGGGCTGTCGATGGCTCCAGGAGCCCGGCCCCCTGGCTCCCGGAGGTCTGCCGAACGCCTACTGCGGGCATCTGCCTTCACACCCCGCCCCTTCACCTGCTGTGAGTCCCCCAGGGCCCCTCCCCTGCCAGCTCTCCTTCTTCCTCTCCTCGGCCCCGGAATGACGCTCCCACCTCTGACCTCAGGGAATCAGCTGGGCTGCACGGGGCGGTGGGATCTTCCCAAATGCTGACCCCGCGCCCAGCGAACCCAGGCTCCGAGGACGCGAAGGGAAGGCTGGGCGAAGAGGGCCCCGGAGAGCCGTGAGCCCCTCGCGCTGGGCCCTGGCTGCTGCACCAGCGGGTTGCGCTGGCCCCCGGGGCTTCGACCAGCATCTCCGACGGCAGGGAAGGGAAGCCCGGAGCCTCCTGCTGCGGAAGGCGGTTCGTGCCTAGGCGTAGGCGGGCAGAGCCAGGGACGTGCTAAGGAAGGCACCTAGCAGCCAAGAAATCCCCTGGGGTGCGTCCCAGACTCGTCCAAAGGTCCTGCTGGGTAAGGAAGTGGGAGTTCCCTCCGAGCCCTGACGCTCACCCCACTGGTCCTCCCTGGTTCCTAGACCTGCTCACCCAGCGGGACTTTCGGCTGGTCCCCCAACCCTCCGATAGTGGCACTGCCCTGGCTCGGTCCCTGACCCGAACCACGGAGAAATCGAGGAAAAGAACTTTTTCGGGGCTCGTCCGCTCTATCTCGGAGCCCGTCTAGCTTCTGGCTGCACCAGATGGTTTCGAGCCTGCTCCTAAACTCCGTTCTAGGAATTTGAATAGGAGCGTGAGGGAGACGAGTAGGCCAGAACCCGGACTTCTGGGTTCCCCCCGGGTCCTGGGGCAGATCTGGGCTGGTACCCCGCCCACAGCGCCGCCTGCCAGGCCAGCTGGGGACCCCCCACCAACCTGCGGGGCTTGGGGTGGCGACCCAGCTTGGGGGAGTGGGGATGGGGGCCTGGGAGTCAGAGACGCCCGCAGGGGTAGCAGCCAGGCGGGGGGGCGCCGAGTGCGTGGTGCCCAGTTTGGCCGCCAGGAGGCGTGGCGCGGGTCCCCGCGCCCGGAGTCGCCGCAGCTGCCGCCGCCGCCGCATCGCGAGTGTCCTTGAGCCGCGGGTGACGGTGGCTTTCGCCGCTCGCGCCCCCTCCTCCCGCTGGGGCAGCCTGATGCCACGTTCCCTATGAATTATTTATCGCCGGCCTAAAAATACCCCGAACTTCACAACCCGAGTGTAAGAGATTCCTGCTGAGGGGAGGGGGCGGGGCCCCCCCGGGGGGCCCGGGTGGAATCCGCGGGGACGGGGACTGGCTCTGGGAGCGGGGAGACCTTGGTGCCCGCACCAGTGGGGGCAAGATGGAGGGCCAGTCCTCTCCCCTGACGCCTAGCTTCGGGGTTTTAGTTCGGCAAAGGGGAGGGAGGGAAACCCGACGGCAAAGCAGAGGCCGCTCTCCCGAAGGGCAGTGGATCCTGAGGAGCCGAGCAGCCGGGGTCCCTCTGCTCCCGGGAAGTCCCGCGGCTGGTGGGTGGAGCCGACTCCTGGGACCAAGGCTCTGGCCTGGGAGCAGGAGGAGCCATCGGTGCCTGGGGTGTGAATGTGTGTGCCTGTGTGTGCACGTCCGTGGGTGGAATACTGCCTGAGCCTGGGGGAGAATGGGGGAAGAGAAGAGTCCTAAGCACGTGGAGGTGATGCTGGGTGTCCCGGAGGACTGACCACTGCCACCCTCCCTGGGGCCTTTTTGGGGTCCTGGCGTTCATCAAACGTTACTTTAACAGACCGCTTGTGACAGGTGTGAACCCTGAGTGGGTAGGCCGAGGTCTCTAAATCAACAGTGCGGGGGGGGGGGGGGGAGTGAGGAGGGGTGGGGCCAGGGCATTATCCAGTGGGCAAGGACCTGCCCCGGGGCAAAATGACGTCAGCCGTGGAGCCTGGCAGAGGCACAGCGGGAGCTCCCCAACCCAGGAGGTAGGGAGGCCGTGGGAAGACTTACATAGCCCCACCCAGCCCCCACCTCTTCTCACCCTGTGAGTCCACAGCCTGGTTGGAGGAAGGCAGGTGCCTTGTGGGAGAGCGATTTAGGCTGAGCTCTGAAAGTTCTGGAATTTTGTCGTGTAGACAAGACCGAGGCAGTGGGAAGAGGACATTCCAACCTGAGAGAAGAGCAGAGCAAAGGCCTGGGGATGAGGACAGTGGGGGCTGTCTGGCCGCCAGCCTGGCAGGGGTGTGGGGCCCGTGGAGGGGAGGACAGTTGGCTGTGGTCAGTGTGTGTGGGGCCCTGTCCATGGGAACAAGGGGCCTGAACTTCATTTGTGGGTACCAGGGAGCAGCTATGCTGTTTGAGGAGGGGTGCAGCGGCCAGAGGGACATTCAGGCCACTAGGGCGAGGAGGGGAGGGGATAGGAGGTGGGAGGTGAGCGGGAGATTAGATTAGGCCAGGGCTGGGGTATGACCCTCCTGCCTTGTGGGGGTGGCTGGGTGTCCGCGGGTGGTAAGACTCTGCAGTCTGAATCTCCCCGATCTGCCCATTGCTACTTGAAGCTCAGAGACTGGCTGATGGGGCCCCTCCCTCCAGAGACATTGTGTGATGGCTCCCGGTGAGAGGCACAGCCTGCCGCAACTTCCTCTCCTCCTTGGCTCTAATCTTAGAGGGCACCTTCCCATTAGGGAGAGTCTCTGGGGTGGTGCCCCTGGAGTTGAGGGAGGGTCTGGGTCCTTCATCCGGAGTCATGTTGTCCAAAAGAAACAGAGGAGAGTTGCATGCGTAATTTAAAATGTTCTGGTAGCCACATTAGAAAAAGTAAAAAGAAACAGGTGAACCTAATTTTAATAGTACATTTTGTTTAACTCAATATATCTAAAATATTATTTCAACATGTAATCAATATGAAAATATTAATGAGATATTTTCTTTTTTTCATGCTAAGCCTTCAATATCCAGTACGTATTTTACTCTTACAGCCTAGCTCAGTTTGAGCCCCATTTTAGATCTCGTAGTCACATGTGGCTGGTGGCTGCCGTATTGGACAGCACAGACCTGGAGCTCAGAGCTGGGAGGCAGCGGTGGGGCAGGCTGGGCCTTCCCAGAGGGCAGGGAACTGCAGGGCCTGGAGGTGTGGGCAGAGATGAGCACAGAAAGGCCTTGCAGAGGGAGGAGCCAGCACGACAGTGCCCTTTGCAGGTATAATTGGAAACCCCTGATTGCTGGTAGCTGAGGTGTGGTGGGTCATGGCGTGGCTTAGGTTCCAGTCCCAGACTCACATGTGTCTCCAGGCTGACATCCTAAGTCAGTGTACTAAGAAACCATACATGGGGGTAGATATCAAGGACGCCAAAATGAGTACATTGTTTCCTCCCCTGCCCC